GTATTAGCAGACCTCGCGGTCGGTAAAATGCCAGGCATCAGCCAGATACCGGTTCAGCTGGTACGACTGTTGATTAATAAGAACCCCATGTTATTTGGTCAGCTGGTCAGCAAGCAGCTAAAGGAAAACAACGTTGTCGTCAACGAGTCCGACTCCAACGCCAGTATCGTCCATTTGTTACCTCCAACCGAAAGTCCCCCACTGATGGTCATTCCCGATGACCTGCCGTACGACGTGGCGGCTCTTGACCGCAAGGCTGACATCCGCAACTACAAGGAAGAAGGCTCGGAACAGACCAACACGGGTATGTGGGCGGGCATCGCTTTGGGTTTCATCAGCCTGGTGACAATCATCGCCACAACCATCCTCTGCTGTCGCAGGTACAAAAAACGTCACGGTGTGGAAACAGATCGGTCGGAGTTCATACAGTCGAAGACCGCCTCCAGTTTCGACAGGTTTCCTATCACCGATTCAAGTAACAACACTGATTCCTGCCGCTCTACGGTTCGAGTCTGTAGGCTTCCGACCCGGAGTCAAGATATGGCTGAATTCAACGAGGTCCCGGGCTATACGAGCTGGAAATATTTCGAACCTCAGACGATGTTTCAACGACCATGAATTCCAGTAGGCACATACATCTCCACACATCGTAACCGGTCCGAGTCACCGCCCAGACTTGCGTGCCTCATTCTTTTCAGAGCATTATCTACCGAGAATATCGTGTAGATTGGTGATCGTGGCATTTTCATAGTCGGGATATGGTTGAACATGTTCATAAGCGTGCACCTGTGATTCTTAGCCGTCTCTTTTTGTTTTATGCGCATGTTTTAGTTTTGTTTCACGGTGATCTTCATGAAATTGTTATTTAAAACTATTAAAACTGTTTTAACCGTTTCAATCAGTTTCTGTTGCAACACTGATTTGAAGGAAATTCATTTCCGACTGCTTTTAATAACTGCATTGAGTGACAGTCGTTTCTGGGTAACTGTGTTGATGGAAATTTCGAATATTAAATGGGTTATGTTCACTGTACAAGCAGGAGCTCTGAATCCTGATCTGAGCCGATAACCTCGTGGGCGCGATGGCACAGTGACAAAGAGGTCCACTTCGAACTCCGGAGGCATAGGATTTGATTCCTCTCGTTTGCAGTCTTTGTTTCATCTAAAAACTTCTTTGAGCATGGAATATATGTGCTTTTTCTGACCGCGGTCGCTCAGTTGGTAGAGAGTCGATCACAGAGCCAATGGGTATCGTATCTATGCCCTGATCTCTTAGACAAATGTGCCAACAAATACAAATAACATTTCCATTAGGACAGTATTCCACGTTAATTGATGCGTTTCATTCCTTTTCTGGCACAGTCACTTTTCAGATTACTATTATGGCCTACGTGCAATATTGTATGTATCATATATTAGCCGTTATGACGTTGAAGTGCTACAAAAATAGTCACCGCCCGCAGTCTGGACGAATCTTGTCTCATTTCATACCCTGAAGGTGTTGTTAATTGTTTCTCCCACCTTTCGTCATCTCATCTCAGCGTTCGTCGATCTCTATCTAAAGGACATCAATTAGACAGTGCAGAAACAGTTGAGGCACACACGTGGCAATATTCGCCATAATTCCTACCTCGCGCCGGCCCAACAGAGGTTCAAAGAAAGTGGTTAACGTTATGTTAGGATACTGGACGATTGTAGCTACGTAAAATATAGGCAAAATCGTATTTGAAATATGATTTTTGCAAGATTATGATACTTTTTGTAAGAAAAAAGATGCCGGAACTCACTTCTTTTTAATCTTTTATTAAAAACATATATTCATTTCTTAACAAATTTAATTTATTGCATTTAAGGCAAATGTTCATTGCAAATTGGAAAGTTTTGCCAAATCTAGTCCGGCAAGTCTTCTGGACTCGTTCCCTTGCTGTTAGTGATCTACGGCTGAATCTTGTCCTCTGAGTATCCACAGATCAACGTACTTTGAACGATCGAAAAGTCTCAGAGGTGGTCCTACAAGTTTGATGAACAAAAATGCTGAAATTGTCTTAGTTATCAACGAAGCTCTTGTTGGGTGCACAATTAGGTTCATCTGCGCTCACATTCGCTTGATGAAATAGAAATGGTATTCAAAGACCGTATCAAATGCAACAGTTTTTTTGATGTCTTTTCGAGAGTTTATT